TCTTTTGCAAGCAGGCACAGCTGAACTTTCTGTCTGCTTTGAGGAAAGTCTTTTTTAAAAATATTTCATTTATTATTTTATCTGTATGAGTGTATTGCCTTCATGTATCTAAGGGTACCTGTGTCATGCAATGCCCAAAGAGGTCAGAAGAGGGCTTTGGATTCCCCTGGAACTGAAGTCAAGGACAGTTGTTAGCCACCATGTGGGTACTGGGAACTGAACCTGAGTCCTCTGTATGAGAAGCCAGTGCTCTTAAACATCGAGCCATCCCTCTAATCCCAACAACATTCTTACTTTTTTTTTTGTCCTTTCCTTTTCTCCCTGTAGACCCAGATGTCCTGGAAATCACTATGTAGACCAGGCTAGCCTTGATCTCACAGAGATCTGCCTGCCTCTGCCTCCCAAGTGCTGAGATTAAAGGTATGTATCACCATGCCTGGTTCTTGGAGGACAGTCTTGTATAACACCATGTGATGAGACGAAGTGAGGTGAAGGACAAAGGGGTTGCAGTGTAGCATTAGGTTACTGCATGAGCTACTTGGACTTGGGAAGTAAGCCCAATGATGAAAGCACTGCATTGCATTACCTCAGCAGTCACTCTTGATTACTGAGATGGCTACTAAGTAACTAACAGGCAGGTAGCACAGACAGTGTAGACATGCTTGACAGAGATGTTTCCTGTTATGGGTGGAATACCATGGGATGGCATCAGTTTTCTTCATACTACTGTAAACGGTGCATAATTTGAAACTTAAGATACATTTATTTCTGGAATTTTCCATTGTATATTTTTGGATCATGGTTAACAATGGATGACTAAACCCTCAAAAAACATAACTGTGCGTAGGGGGTGGGGGTGGGGCTGCTGCACATCTTTTCAGCTCTTATAGTGCCCAGGGTGTAGATTAATCTCAGGTGCTTCTTCTATACCTGCTGGGTGAATATAGGCCACTCTGTCTTCCCGAGTTCCAGTTCAAGCTTGAGTGCCAGCTTTGACAGCTCTACGGGGTTGTTAGATGGATGCTGCCAACTGTCCTCAGGAAGCAGCAAAAGTGGTTAACAGCCCAGACCTCAGACAGCTTGCCTAAACTCTAACCCTGGGAATATGGGACTTTAGGTGTACAGCCTTGGAGAAGTCTCTGAACTCCTTGTGCCTCAATTTCCCATCCACAGAACAGGATTGGTGGTGACAATATTATACATAGACACGATTACTTTCCGTAATTGCCTTCATTGATGGTAGAGATGCTACTTTGTTAGATCTTAGCAATGGTACAAGGAGCTGAGAAGATGATTATCCATTTAGTCTAATGGATTTGCTTAAGACCAAAGCTATTTAGTTTACTTTCCATTCTTTGTATTCAGCACAGTGGTTAACACACAGCATGAGTCAAATAGAAACCCAAATCTATGAATACATTGCCAGAACAGTGGGCAGTAAGTATGGGACCAAACGTGATGTTGCTCATTGGAAAATGAAGAAAATCTGAGGTCTGGAGCAAGCAGGCACAGCTTCTTGGAGAGAGTGGGATTTGGATTAAGCCTATACCTTGTGCCTATTGGCAGTGATTATGTCCCATGCATGGCACAGATCCTGGGGAGGAGACACTGTATAATAAGTACTACAAATGTATAATACTTTGTGCTGTTCTCATGGGACAGGCCTTGAGTATGAACCATTTTCCATGATGATTTGCCTGGTGTTGCCTAGTATGAAAATACCACTGAGTTTGAAGTTGAGTTTAGTGAAACTATTTATTTTTGTTAACCTTGGAAATATTAAAACAGTCTGTGATGATAGTCACAGTCACAAATATTAGTTGAGTGAAAGACAGTAAAATTAAATCTTAAAATACTTATTCCAGTAACTTGCTAATGTGGGAAATAGTAGTCTGTTTGATTTGAAAGCTTAGGACTTAATATGACCACATCAAGTTAGGTGTGGTAGCATATGCCTTTAATCTCAGCACTCAGGAGGCAGAGGCAGGTGGATCTCTGAGATCAAGGCCAGCCTGATTTCCAAAGTGAATTCCAGGCTAGCTGGGGCTACAGGGAGACCTTGTCTCAAAAAGGTAAAAAAATGACCATATTAGTTCTAAGACAGATCTGGAAGCCAGGCAATTTAGGATCTCCTCTTCCCATCTCTGCTATAGCCTTTAGGTATGATGTTGAGCACAGTTGACCTTTTCTGGAATGCAGATGGAACGATGGACTCAGTGCTCCTTGGGTCCTTCCTGCTGGTATGGTGCTTTGAGTCAAGCATATTCACACTGTCTTGACAGGCTTCATGATTAGTTGAGAAATGGAATGGGGTTAACAGAAGCTCTTCATGAAGAAAAGACAGGTATTACAGTTTCTTCTTCCAAATTATGACCCAAAGACCATGAGAGGGTAGGACATTGTCTCTAAAGGGGGTGAACACTGATTCATCCTTCCACTACAACTAGGAATTCCTGAGTCCAGTCTAGACTTGCTGGATTTCTGCTTTACACTCTTAATGGAGAGAGACAAACACCAGTCACCGTGTGGCCGTGATAGGTCTTCCAATGTGATGGGTACTGCATTGTCTTTCACCTTTGATTTTCTTCAGACTGAGTGAGAATGCTTCTTGGAGACAGGCCAGATCAACGCCAGTCTGATTTTGCATTGGTTCTTACTAGAAAGGCAAATGGGTATTCAGAAACTTGGAAGCCAAACAGTTTCCTTACTCTGTCAGGAGGCTTGTGGGTCCAACACTGTTGGGGTCAGCAGGAGCAGAGTCAATTCAGTGAGTCACTCTGGGACTAATGGTGTGACCGTAAGGAGTGACAGTAACAAAACCAATTACAATAAATTTTCTTTGTTGTTTTGCTTTTTGAGATAGTCTCATGTATCCTAAGCTACCAAATTGTTAGATAGCCCAGAATGTCCTTGAACTTGTGATTTTTTTGGCCTCTATCTCCTGAGTGCTAGGATAACAGGTGTATACAACTATACTCCGTTCATGAAGTGGGAGGTTTCAACCTAGGGCCTCATGCATGTTAGGCAAGCACCCTACCAACTGAGCTACATGGCCTCCCCACCCCCAGCCCACAATGTACCAAAATTTTAAAGGACATTTTCTCATTTAGAAAATGAAATTTGTAAAAATAGAAGTTCAAGAAATTAGTGATTTGAGAAAGAAGCTATAGAATGGGGGAAGTATGGAATTTTAGAGTAGAGATGGCATCACAGGCAAATCTGGGAGATGCAGAGGAGTCTGAAGAATTCCAGTGGACACGCGGTGTCTGTGGTGGTAGCCACCTGAGCCACCTGTGTTGTCCACTGGAAGTTCCCTGCTTTAGGTCACACTCATGTCACTTGCCTCTGTCACAACAGACTGAAATAAGGAAAAAAGATTTTTTTTTAAATGATGGGTGTTGAAATCTTACAGAGAATCCTGGATCTACCACTTCTTACTGATCTTCTCACTTCCTGTTAGGGAATCTTAACTGAGTCTCAGTTTCTGGGAACCTCATTTTCATGTATGAAATGTTGGGATTATTTAAATCTGAAGGTTGGTTATAACATGTACAAAGTTACTTAAACAACTTCACTGCATTCCTGACTTCACCATAGTAGAAAGAAGGCAGAGTGAAAAGGAGGATAATTTATTACATTTAGCATATTTCATTAGCGTTATTGCTCAGGACCTGGCTCGGTGTCCTTCAGTAAAAGGTTAAGCTAAGTGCATTCTTATCGAGATTACCTCCTTCAGATGTTTATTTCCCAAGCTGTGCTAATTAAAAAATACCATAAATGTTCTAATTAGGTCCTTGACATTTCTTTTTAACAATTGCAAAGAGGCTTAATAACCATGTTAAAGAACAAGTTACTGTGAAGCTAAAAGTCACTGTGACTCTGATGCTGATATTCATTTGTAGAACGAGGTGCATGGAGAGTAAGCTCTGTTCCTGGGACAAATGGGGAGTATGGGACCTTTCCCCTAAAGTGCAGGTCTACCGAGCATATAGGAAGTGAAGCTAACTGGCAAGATCATCCAACTTAACACATTCAGCGGCATTTGGAGTAGTGGTGGGGAAAACAGACTCTTGTTAATCTCACACTTCCTCTATACATTTCAAAAAACAAGGTGTGACTAGGCAGCTGGATTTTAAAAAGATCTTCAGAAGGCTAAATGGCAACCAGGTATGCTTGCAAAGTCCCAGCTTTAAGAAGGTTTTCTATCTTCTAGCATCGTTTGCTATCTGGAATTCAATTCTGCTCATTTAAAGCAAGAACTTGAAGGCTATTTCCTGCTCATTAAGGCTCTGGACTTAGTGGAGCTGCTTGTTGGTCTTTGTCCTTTTATGCATAGGTACATTAAGGGACGTCTGCATTCTTCAAAATCTAGGGAACTTCACCAAAGTGAAGGGAAAGAAGGAAGCAGGTATCCACAGTGTGCCTTTGGTGTGCTAGCCTAAGGTTGCTCCAGGAAGTAGGAGCCATTATTGTCTGCATTTGACACAGAGGAGAATCAAAGCTCAGAGAGCTTGTCTTGTCCCAACTCGGGTCTCCTTCTCCAACAATAGAGCCCATTTGCCCTGAAATTTCCATAAGGTCTGGGTGGAGGGGAACAGGAGCCTTCTTGGCTCAAGTCCCTCAGGAGTCCCTCCTTAGATGCCCAGGTTTGTTTTCTTTGGCTCCCCCATTAATGAGTTCCGCAGGATGATGCTAAGTCTAGTTATCCAGCCTTAATTGGTTTAGTTACAACAAGATAATTCCTTTTTTCTTCTCTTGGAGGCCTTTCTGTTTAAAGACATTTTAGCTAGAAGATGCTAATTACCAACGAGGAGAAAGTGACACCTGTAGACTTCATTTTCCATCTTGGTCCTTGGTTTTTCCTTTGAACTCCCTCTACCCAGGCCCCTTTCCCACTTTGTCACTTGTCCCCCACCATCATAAAAGAGAGCTAGTTCTTGGCTAGGCAGCAGAACTTTCTCACTTTCCAGAGTCCTTCCTTTCACAGCTGTCTCAGAGGCATGGACAGCCTGTGTGAGACCTTCCTCAGCCTGGATGATGGCCTGGACTCTTCCGACACTGCTGGCCTGCTGGCCTCCTGGGACTGGAAAAACAGAGCCAGGCCCTATGAACTGAGCCAGGCATCCCCCACTCAGAGCCTTTCCCCAGTTCCGTCGCTGGAGTCCTACTCTTCCTCTCCCTGTCCTGCTGGGACTGGGCTGCCCTGTGGGCATAGTGGGGCCAGCACAGGAGGCAGCGATGGCTGCAGTAGCCACGGAGGTGGAGGCCTCGTAGAGCTGGACTATAATATGTTGACTTTCCAGCCTGCCTACCTACAAGGTGCTGGTGGCCTCAAGGGCCAGAAGGGCAGCAAAGTCAAGATGTCTGTCCAGCGGAGACGCAAGGCCAGCGAGAGGGAGAAGCTCAGGATGCGGACCTTGGCAGATGCTCTGCATACCCTCCGGAATTATCTGCCCCCTGTCTACAGCCAGAGAGGCCAGCCACTCACCAAGATCCAGACGCTCAAGTACACCATCAAGTACATCGGGGAACTCACAGACCTCCTCAACAGTGGCAGAGAGCTCAGGCCCCAGAGTGTGTGAGCTGTGTCCCTTGGGGATCCCACCAGTTCCAGACCTGTGGACAGGCGTACAGGAGCTTTGAAGACCCCAAACTGTCTCCCAGGACAACAGTAAAGTGTTGTCTGTATGTGTACAGTTGGTATGACAATCTTGTGATCTGCTAAGTTGAAAGGGACTCCTCCCTGACCTGCTGGAGCCGCCAGGACATTCACCTGCCAGACAAGTAGAAACTTGCTTCCAGTTTGTCACCATGAATCCAGAGATTCAGCCTTTGCAAAGAGATAAATCATTTAGTCTTATGTCTGTTCAAGGTATTCTAAAGGAGCAATGTAGTATAAATGAATTCTTTGCAATAATGCAAAAATAGTTAACAATCTCCTGACATTTTGGTGTTTGGAGTTTTCTTTCTGTTGTAACCAAACTTTTTTTTTACAGGATCCAGGGTGACATTTGGATTCTTTAGAATGATTTGTGTCAAGTAAGAAGTTTCTCTCTCTCTCTCTCTCTCTCTCTCTCTCTCTCTCTCTCTCTCTCTCTCAGGAACAATTCCTTTTCAGTGCAGAAGGGATCTGTGTAAGTCACAAGTAAACAGGCTAAGTTAAGGTACTGAAGATTATAATGGTCAGAGTTTCCGCTCTAAGCAGGGGAAGGAAGGATGAGGTCATAGACTGCTGTGTCCCAGGGAACAGGAGCAAGGAAGAAGGGGGAAAGAGGGGGCTGTAGCACCATAGGAAGGCCTGAAGCTGGGCTTAGGGAGCAGGAGGTACCCTGTCTTAGGCTTCATTGAATAGATTTCTTCCCTTCAGGTATTAATTTCTTAAGTGAAGAGATTGGCTTAAAACAATTTTGAACCCCATAGATAATAAGTAAAAGACAAGATTAGAACTCAAGTCTGTTTCTGACCCCTCTGAAGGTATTTATTTCATCCATAAAGTCCCTCCTTCTTACCCACCTACCTCCCACCACCGCACATGCCCCTCTCTCATGTCCCCATATCTCCGCTCTACCCTCCAAGTCCCCATATACAATTGCACACCCTCTTCAAGGTGCCTGCACTGCTGGGTGTCTGCAGTAGCCTCAGTTTGGTTAATTTGAATGCATAAGACATTGAAAGGGGCTTTGATTTAAGGGAGTCTTAAAGCTCCTGGGCTTTTCTAAGATGGCCTTCTCCTTGCTGTGGTTATTAACCACTAGTGTTTGTTTTCAGTGAATTCATTTTCTGTTTATGTTTCCTCTTTTTTTTTTTTCTCTTGGTGATTTTTCTTCTTTCTAGTAACATGAATTATAAAAGCAGTGACTGTGTTCACAATTTCATGTACAATTGTTTCCCGATTTTTTTCTCTGCTGATACAAATATTTGCAAATAATTATAAGCATATGGACACTTTGAGGACTACTGTTAATTCTGTAAATTCTGATTTTGCCTTAGCAAGCTAGAGTAAAATTATACAAATACGTATGTGATATAAGCACCAGTATTATTTTGATTGTATAGACAAGGAAATTGAAGCACAACTTTCTCCCTCCAATAATGTACCCTAACCAAGTTCTTCATAACTTCTTTAATGAAGCACATTTTGAATAATATTTAAGTTGTTTTGGGTTGTTTTATTACCAAAAAATGCCTTGACAAATATAAACAACTAGCTTTGTCCCTTGGTATTTTTTTATTAGCCTGAGAAGTTCTCAGAAAAGGTATTCCTAGAGTGTGTGTACAATTTAAATTTTGATAAATATTATTTGATCACTTTCATAAAAGTGTATAGTTACTTATACTTTCATAAATATCATGGGGCAGAACCAGGGTCCCACACAGTAACTCACTAGTGTCTGCTTCAAGAAGCTGTAATGGGGAAACACAGTTACATAGTCATTATGTTAATTTTAATTTTCTTATTTGTTATTTGAGATAGAGCATCCTTTTTTATGTGACTATTATTCATTTTGGCTCCTGGTCTGTAATATGGCAGTTTATGTTCTTTGCAATTTTTTTGATTGGATTCCCTTCTTTTATTTGAGAAAGTACATTATATGGGTTGAAAGATTTTCTTACAATTTATTAGTTGTTTTACATTTTTTAATGGTGCCTTATAGTTATACTTTGTGATATCTTTTGTTCTTATAAGTTCTTAATTTTTATATGATCAAATCTTTTTTTTTTGTTTTATGGTTTATGTGACTTTTTTCCTTTGCATAATTTGTCCTAGTTCCATAGTGGTTCAAGTATTCTGATTTTTTCCAAATATTTTTTATAGTTTTATTTTTTAAATTTTATTTTGACTTTTAATAAATAAATTTTTATTTTTAATCTACATGCAATTTTTTCTGCATATTTTATCTAGGAGGAATTTAGCTTTATTCTGACTGGTATTTTTATTACTGAAGAACAACATATTTCATCTTTAAGAAGTAGTGGGTAGTTGGGGACACAGTGGCTAAAATGCCATTCTACTTATATTTCTAAAACTTCATTAGCTTCTCATACATTATCTTTTTGTGTTTGGTGAAGGAGTTAAAAAACATTGGAGAATATAGATACTTTCTCTAAGAACTGTGTCCTGCACATGTATTTGTATGAAATGCTGTATATGCACACATGTTTTTTGTATGTGTGCTTGTATGCATATGTATGTGTATGCTGTGTTTTATGTTACAGAAGAGTAGAGTGGATAATAATATTCTGATTGGACAGAACCACCTGGCCTAAAATGCAACTTTTAGATCAAATACTATTTTCTTTGCTCTTTTAAACAACTGAGAACCAAATGCTCTTTGCTTTGACTTTTCAAACTCAGTTATTAAGAATGCTTCAATAACTTGGGAAATTTTTGTTGTCTTAGGGGGTCAAATATGAGGTCCCTGTTCTCACTCTCAAAAGTTCCTTCAAGGGAGATGCTTAGTCAGTAAAGTGCTTGCCATGCAAGCATAAAGATCTGAGTTTGGATAACCAACAATCACATAAGAAGCCATGTGTGATGGCAGAAGTCTTTAAGTTCAGTGCTGGAGAGGATCCCTGGGGCTTGCCAGTTAGGCAGCAGAGCTGAACAGCAGAGCTGTAGGGCTTTTCTATAGCCTGCTTGCCCCAAGTTCAGTGAGAAAAGCCTACCTTAAACATAAGGTAGGGAGGCTGGAGAGATGGCTCAGTGGCTAAGAGCGCTGACTGGTTGCTTTTGCAGAGGACCTGGGCTCCAACCCCAGTGCCCACATGGTCGCTAACAACCATTTGAACTTCCAGTTCCAAAGAATCTGATGCCATCTTCTGGCTTCCATGAGCAATGCTTGCACGAGTACACTTACATACATGCAGGCAAAACACTCATAATGTAAAATTAAAAAAAAAAAATTAGGCAGGAAAACCCCTGACATTCACCTCTGGCCTCCACACACATGCACGCACCTCTTCATGAACACGTTGTGCACACACACACACACACACACACACACACACAAATTCCCTCAAAGCCACAATCTCACCTGGTAGCTAGGACTATGCTCAAGTACGTCTAAGGGATCTCTTGGTAGGGAGGCATCTCACCTGGAAAGCCAGGAGAAATAGGGTTTCCTGGGTGGGTGCCTCTGGCTCAGGGCTTTGCTGGGACCCTCCCCAGACTGCCACATGCAGTCCAACTCCATTCTGCCTGCCAAATGCACCCAGCTATACTCTAAGAGACAAAGACCTAGAGGCATTTATTTGCTCCTGCAACAAGCTGTCCCCATGAAGCTGCTTCCCTTGTATGGGGCAGAATTGGAGTGGGTCCCTGATTCCTCTGGGGAGTGGCTAAAGCATTTGGCCCTAGGGACAAAGCTCAGAATAGGAATAAGCTATTTCTGGTGCTTGGGTAGGGAAAGGATTGCAAAAGCACAATTCATGTGTGACTGGTCATGGCCAGTATTTCCGTATTGATTATTATATATAATCCCCTTAACAGCCCTGGAGGTAGAATTAAACTTCCTACTCTGACTGAAGATTAGGACGGATAAGTGATGCAAAGCCCTGTGGTTAGCTAGTGGCACATGCTTGACTGGTTAGCTTAAGGCTCGGCTCTCCCTCCAGAGCTCAAGCACTCTTGGCCCCTGAAATGCAGCCAAGCTTGCTTGGCTTGGCTGAGGGAGAGCATTCTCAGCAGATGCTCGGAGTATTTACTTCCCTCCTCTGGGGCCCTCATTTCTTTTGCCAACTGAAGCCCTTCAGAAGAGGTTATTCATCTCGTCTTTTAAATTATCTCCCTTTGAACTTCTACCTCCACCTTTAATGGTTCCTCAGAAATTTTCTTTACTTCCTTTGCTGGCGTATAGTCTTAATCAACAGAGGAAACCTGATGTCTGTTCATTTGTGTTCAATAAAGTGTTCCACAATTCACACAAGCCTGAGGTTCCTTTGTTCTGCTTGTACCTTCTGCCACTGGGGCTGATCAGGAGAGAAGTTAAAGCAGGGTGTATGGGGGGTCTGGTGGGGTGGGGTGGGGAGGGGGAGGATCTTGCAAGTTGACAAGTCGACAGAATTACTCTTGTGTTAAAATATCTTTTAAAAAAATAATAGCAAGAGTTGGAGATAATAGTGATAGAGTGCTTGCTGAATTTGATCCTGGATACTGCAACAAACAAACCAAACAAACACCAAACACTGTACAACCGAAATAGGAAAAGAAGATGGATATGTAAATGCACATGTGCTTCTGAGATCCTATTAGTAGAGCTTTTCTATAGCCTGCCTGCCCTAAGGAGTCAGATTCCACACATACTCCAAGCCCTGGGAGGTGGGGATGGAGACCTTTCCCCACCCTGGGCCTTGACCTCTTTGGGCACAGCTTGGGATGGTTTGAAAGGAACCAGAGCCTGGCTAGCTCATCTCTTTCTGTCTCCTCCCCTCAACCCACTCTTTCTCCTTCATCCCCCTCCTTCTTTCCTTATCACTCCTGAGGAAGGTTAGATTAAGGGCTAGTTTCTTCTGGAGCCAAATATGAGTGACTATGGCATGGAAACACAGATTTAGGTTCCCCCAAATTCCATGTTCCAATGAG